CCTGGTTATCAGTTGCCTTTTTTAATCCATCAAATATTAGAATAAATTAATTAAAATACATAGTTAACTACATATCACAACCCTAGGCATAAGTTAATCATAATTGTAATTAGCGTTCATCAACTTCTTTTTCCTCTGAATTCAATATTTGCTGTATATAATCTCAGTAATCCTTTCCAATAATGGTATCTTGAATATAGTCTTATTATCTCCCCATGTGGAGCTCGAGGGCTGCCGTTGAATCCAAGGGAGTAAAAACTATCTTGTCTGTTTCCCTTTGAATGAGATACAAACAGAAGTAGCTGGTTCCCTAGATGTAACTTGGGAATCTTGCATTTTATTTTAGAGACAAGTGGGAATAGGGGAAGCATGTATGGTTCAAAGTGGAAACATTCAAATTAATTTATATAATCTATGCCTGAATGTTTACTGTTTTAAACAACGCCATACTCATTGGTTTACTTTTATAGATTACGATTATGTTAAATTGCTTTACAACTAGACAACTGCTACATGTTTTCTACCAAAAAATATCTGAATATTGCAAGTATTTTTTAGGTTCTCAGTATTTTGCAAAAGGTCCCCAAGGCATCAAACTTTCCCAGAATCTGAAATTAGCAAAGGTTCTACTTAAAAATTAGAAATTTAATAATTATAACTTAGTTTGGATTGAAGAGCATTCTTCAACTTGGTGCCTTTCCAATGGGCTGGGATTACTACTCCAATATATTCTAGTCAATGTGGGCAGTCTTAAGAATCAGCTAAGATCCTTGAAAGCTAAAGCTTAATAACACTGAATTACAGTTTATCCAGAAACAGCTGGTTCTCTCTCTGCCCTGTTTGTCCTGTAAAGAACCATGAGTCATAAGGTTCAGAAGGTTGTGAATGGCAAGCTACAAAAACTGACCTTTGTGGATAGGCACAGAAAGAAGACCAATATTTTCCCATGGCAGAATTATTGCTTGTTATAGAGGTAAGAGATGCCTTACCCCTCAATCAAAGAGGGAGAGTGAATGATTGAGTTCTTTGGGAGGGGAGGGGAAATAAAGGGTAGACTCATAAGGCAGAACTGGGAATTGGAAGACACAACTTGGTATGGAAACTGAGAAAATGGACCAGGTTTCTGTCTATTTTCCCAGCCACTCAATTAATTCATTAGAATCTCAGGAAATGGGAAGTCCACGAAAGAGGATTAAGACAGAGAAAATATCTGCTCTCTCTGGAAATGCAACTTAAAAGGTTAGCTAGGAATATTGTGTTAGGTTCAATCTTTGTTTCTGGTGCTTTGCTAAAGATTCCTGACCTACATTTCTATGCACAAAGTAATTTGGGGAGAGACAGCTAGGTGGTTATACTTTTAGCAAAATGAATGGCGCTCTTCCAATGATTATGTTTTTAAGAGTAAAATAGTAATTTGTTGGTAATGCATTTATTTTTGGATTGATATTTTAACTGTTTTCTAGATTTTTAACTTTGTAAACTACTCAGAATCACAACAATGAGATGAATGGCTATACAAATTTAACAATTAAAAAACTATTAAGATGTTCATGGAGTTATAATGTTTCTTTGGAATCTTGTATC